CAAAGGCCGTCCGTTTCGTGAAACGTAATATAAAGCGATATATGGATGAGGCATAATATATACTATTTAAACTACTTTGAACAATTATAATTTATATTTTATTATATTTTATTTGTATTCATTAATTTTATTTATTTTGATTCAATATGACGTATTATATTAAAATTGTTACTAACACGTCAATTATACGTTCATAGTTGCACTACTATAACAGACACTTACCATTTTTTTTTTTTAAATTATCTGAAAACACTTTATTTTGTATAGCACCATATAGCTGTTATTACATTATATAATATGCAATTGTAAGTATAATAATTTCAGTAGTGAGTATGAACTGCTGGAACATGGTAGTAAATTATCAAATCTTGTCTATAAAAACTGAACATTTAAAAAACTCAAAATAATAAATTGGGGTTTTGTAAAAATTTGAACTTTAAAGGCTTATAAAAAAGTTATGCATAATATTTATTGTTAATTTTTTTAAATAGCTAGTAAAAACTTATCAATATCCTATTGCATAGGGTAAATTATTATTCAGCTCTTCGACCAAACGCAAAATTTTTTGTCGACATTTTTTAGAAAAAAACAAAAATAATCAATGAAAATCGAAAACAGTCTACATTTTTGGCTACACTAGTTTCAAACGAGTTCTGATGGAACTAAAAACTTCTTGTTCTGAATACATGAAACGTGTATGTTATAAAATACGAGCATTGCGTATACGGGCTTTCGGGGCCGTCACCGTTATTGATCTCTCTGTCAGTCTGTCCCGACTAAAGACTAAAATGCCCAGATTGAAACTCTGGTAATTCCGTCACGTCAGCCACAAATAAATAATAATACAGTGTGTCCCAGAAGTCCCGTATCACCCTTAGTATCTCCGTGGAAAATCAATATATTTAAATGAAGTTTCTTTTACAGTCATAAGAATGGAAATTCTGATTGAATAGCATAATTTTCGATTTTTTTTATCAAAAATTCAAAAATGATCAACAATTTTTTTTAGGCAAATCAGTTTTTTAATTTTCCGAGATAGCCATTTTGTCGATCGTATTTTTTAAAACGGTTCAAAAAAAATATTAAAATTTAACGGACATTTCCCAAGTTTTAGCTAATTATTATTTTTAATTTTAGCCGATAAGACAGCGTGATTGTAATAATTAACACGCGAATCGTGTTTTGCTAATGTAGTAGCATAGGCAACATAACTATTATTCTGTCTGACTGTCTAACTCTACCATGTGACGGTGTATTGCCTAATAATTTTTGTAATATAAAGGTTTTCAATACTACCAGTGCGAGTACCTACTCACTCTTGATTTCAGATCTTGACATCGTATACATGGAAACGTGTGGTGGTTAAGCTAAGAGCGATCAGCGAAGCTACATCTGCAACTACCAATTTTTATGTTTTTATAAATTTTATTGAATAAATTAAAACATTTAAAATGTACTTTTAAGAAAATTTATTTAAGAACAAATACAAATAATTTCCATGTATTTAAATACTTTTTTTCATTTTACTTAAGTCAGTTTGAACAATTAATTGTGTATTACTAATTTAAAATAGTGTAATGTTACATTCAATTAGGTATTATTAGTACTTTTTGTAATTGTATCTTTTTCTTAAATGTATACTAAAAAACGAAATAAAGATTGTTTTATAATTTTGTAATAATTTGGAAATACTTTATTATTTGATAATGAAACAGCTGTCAATCAATTAGAAATCAATTTAATTATTTTACTAGGTAAGGAATTATTAATTTGAGGTACATTCAATTTTCAAAACTGATTTTACTTGATTAAGAAGTGTACCTACTGATTTCCTAGAGGTCTCTGAAGTCAGTATATTATTTGTAATAATCATAAACGAGAGTAGGTCTCAACATTAATGAGTGAACAAATATTATTGGACTCACAATGTTGGCAATCCATGGGGATGTGCCACTAACAGCTGAGGAGATGGTGGACGATCTGGCAAAAAAGCCAAGGAAATTAAACTTTTTATTATAATGTGTTTAGTGTTAAAATATATAATATAATTTTTTAAAACCGTGCAAAATTTTTAATTATTATGACTACGGGGGGTGTGGGGGCAGATTCCCTAGTACATTTGCAGAGCCCCCCCCCCCATTGAAAGTTCCTGAGAACGCTACTTCCTGAAATTCTCATTCTACTTGATTCAGTGGTTTCTGAACATAATAGATTATATTTATATTTTTCCAATTTTTCATTGAAACCAAAATATTACATTCTTACACACTACGGTAGAATTCTTCTTGCAAATGGTCCGATTTTATTAACTTCTTCATTAAGATTTGATTCCAAGCATAAAGTGTTAAAAGCATTTTCAAATTCAATACCCTGTCTTATCAATCGTGGCTATACCTTAGCACATAAGCTTCAGTTACAAATGGTTAATCATTTTTAAATCAAACAGGGATAAACCCTGACTTATTAAAGGTAGGATCGTGCAAAAACTTAAATACTTTTGATGAGTTTAGTAGTCAATTATTTAATTTATTACCTATCAAATTAAAAGATGTAATAGCTTCAGCACCTTGGATAAAACTTAGAGGAATTTCTTACAAACCAGGTATGTATGCTTGTAATTTTGAAAATCAATTTAAACAATTTTATATTTGGAAAAATAATAAATATTATTCTTGGTAATTCAAGAACTCCATGTGTGAGCTTTTTCTTACTGTCGGGTTTCACTCTCATTTTCATGCATATCAAATAACGAAATATGATGAAAAAGAAAATAATTTAATAGGTTGTTATATAAAAGATTTACCTGATTTACCCGACGCCTACAGTTCTGAGAGTTTTGGGTAATGGTAATATGTATGCATCATTAAGATATGCACTATAATTTTATTTTTTAATTGTAATTACCTATTGTATTTTTTTTTGTATTAATTTTATACTATGTAATATGTACTTACCTATAACTGCTAACATAATTATGTTTATGATATAAATTATACAATGTTAACTTACCTTATACCTATATTACAATGTGATTAGGATTTTATTCAAACTATATACTTATTCTGTAATACCTTTGTATATATACCTAGGTAGCAGGTACCTACTATACAGTATTTTTGCATCAAAAAGAATTGTTTTTTATCTAAGAGTTATCTATAGGTGGTAGAACCGGCCCATAGACATATGAAATTACATTGTGTATCAAGATGACAAGATAAATCAATTTAAACTCGTCTAGTTAAAATGCAACTAGGCAACAAGTATAATAATAATTTAGGATGTAACTATATAAATATGGCCTATGGGCACTATGACAACAATAGTTAGGCAGTAATTTTTAGTAATAACATAGTCACATAATGAGTAATGATCAATAGGTATGAGTGTTATGTCTCATAATAGTGTTTATAGCAATTTAAATCAATAGATATGCAAAGATTTTTTTATGATTACAATTACAAAATTAAGAATTATATTCCTACTAGCTGATCCCGTGCACTTCGTCGCCCGTTAAATGGATCAACTCAATACTACCTACTCAAACTTTGTTCAATTCATTAACGTGTATGGTGTTCAAAATTTATCTTATCTTTCCCGTTGCCCTGAATAAAAATTCTGAATCGCAGCAGTACATTATCAGGTAGGCAATCTACCTGCGGTAGATCGCGGACCCCGTGCTGTTTGTACGGAAGTGTATGATTTAACTCTAAAGTATCAAAGTTATACCAAGTTTATAAATTTGGTTGCTCGTAAAAAATCGCAACTCTTAAAAAAATTATGATTGTTGAACTCCTTTTGGGTGTAATTTTCTGCGGTAAGTGCAACTCTGCCACCCTGGTAAGCATTGTTCAATAATTCGATTTGATGCAAGCTTGTACCTGATCTGCCCGAATAACCAATGGCAACCAATAAATAAATGCTAATTTCTAATGTAGACTGTAACCAATGGCAACTATAAATAAATAAAAATAAAATTTCCAATTTCTATCGTGAATCTCAATGTCCCTGTTTCAGCACCTATTTAAAATGCGAATTTTGGCAAATCCTTTCTTAGCGCACGTCTATATTATAATAGCTATCTGTATGCCAAATTTCAGCCAGATCCGTCCAATGGTTTGAGCTGTGCGTTGATAGCAGTCAATCAGCTTACTGTTTTTTATATACAGATATGGTTGCCATGGTAATATGGACACACACACACACACACACACACACACACTGACATACATTCATTTTTATATATATAGATTGATATGAAATCTTGGTAACCTTAGTAACCATGGCAACCTTGGTAACCATGGTAACATGGACACACAGACACACAGACACACTGACATACATTCATTTTTATATATATATAATAGATTTAAAGCGTTTTTTTTTTGTTAAGAATTTATGGTGATAGTTATTAGATAATAAATGCAAAAATGTTAATCTTGGGATTTTAAAATTAATGGTGTAGAGAAACTTAAACATAATTATAGTTTAAATTTAATTGAATAAATATGAAGAAAGAATGAAAATGGGCAAATTTAAATTATCACAGTTTGTTAAAAAGTAAATAGAAATCACAGTAAGTAATAAAAAAACAATTTTCTAAAGTTTTTTTCTATTGTTTAAAATACTATTTAGCTAGGAATGTTCAGCTTAGATTGAAAAATAAAACTTAAATTAATAAATATCATACCACTACACTTATCTTTGTATTATCATTGTCTGCGCCAATACAGCTCTTACAATGTGCAGCACTGACTTGCGAAGTGTAGGTTAACTAGATGGAATAATTAAAATGACAATTTATTATAATGGTGGTGTGTATAACACCCAATAAATTTTATTGGCAACACATATTATGACAATGAATAATTATATATATTAATACCTACATTAGATTGAATGACTTAATCAAAATTAATAATAATTAAATAAGTAACTAACATATCACAAGCCGAGCCCGTGGTTATGATGCCCAGTTACAACAGTTTCTGTTTAAAAATACAATGACACCTGGATTGCGGCTGTACTACAGATTGATGGATCATGACGTTGAATGGTGTTGCTGCACAGCTCCTCTGTGGGGAGGTATTTGGTTGAGGCTCACACAGCGGCAAACGACCGACAATCCAACACAACTATGTGAAAGTTGGGGAGTTATCAAACCACCTGGCCCGAGCTTCAACAAAACCGGATGTACGACGCACCAATGCGCAAAACGTAAATTAGAATCGGAACATCAAAGAGAGAACTACCAAACTCAATTATTGAAAATTTGAGAGTAACAATGTACAACAACCATTTGGTTTCGGGTGGCGGGTCACAAAGTGGCACACACCAAAGGACAAATAGGTATGTAAGGCCTGACCGTGAAAAAAACACAGCGACGTCTCGGCCCGGCGGTTTATGTTGGTTATCAGAGGCCGTACGATGCCTAAGAGGGCCAAATCGCAACCAGATACCAGGTTGTCACCGATGCCCACATAATTGCATGGAGACCGTTTTACATGGGCATTCAGCGCGCTTGTTTGAACAATCAATTTCTTTTACTTTTTTCTTCGACTATTGTGGGACAATATCTGTTTCTTATTCTTCTGGTTCAGTCATAGAAGGTTGTATAGTTCCACTCAAAAAGCAAGTTGTAGAAATATTATTTATATTAAATAAATTATAAATTATAAAATATTAGAATTTTAACAGTTTTATATTTAATAGTTTGCGCTGTACTTGTTGTACGTATGTTGATTTACGATCATCATTAAGTTATGAACATCAACTGCTTTAAACTATCATCTAACAAAGCATTCTCAAGTACAGATGTAGGGACCATTTCAACCAAGAACGGTATACTGCAATCTGATGACTGTGAATAAGGCACATAGTTATTTGTTAAGCTATGCAAGTGTTTAACATAACATTTATGTACAAAATCAAATTTTTTTTTCCATTCAATGATTTATTATTATCATCTGCAACAGAATAACTGTCAGATGCATTTTGTAAACGTCGTAAACGATTATCACATATTTATTTAATGAAATAATAATTGTGTAGCCATATTCAAATGTTTTATATGTGTTTCCATATGGTCTGTCATCTGAGAAATAGAATGATTTTCAAGATAATTTTCTGTAATAAATTGCCGTGCCAAGTGTTTTTTCCAACTCGACGATATTTTTCTATTGGTTGGTTGTTTATTTTCACAATTATCTTTTTCAATACTTGAATTTTTTCCTTCAATACTTGAATTTTTCCCTTCAATATAATATGCATGCAATGTTTTTTGATTTAGGTTTATGGAAGAATCAAACTTTTGACAATCGACACAAATACATCGTCGAGTCAACTGTAATAATTCAGGTACAATAGACCATGATTTTCTCGGGTTCAAAGTTAATAACTCCTTATACTTACACTGAATATGGTAACGAAAGTAATCAAATCGTACAGTGAAATTATGACGTAGAATTTCTGCTTGGGAATGTAAAACATGGAAATGATCTCTATGGTACATAGTGGACGAATGCATAAAACTAACTTACCATCAACGAATAAGTTGTAGGCTGCTAGTAATTCAGCAAAGCTTAGGGATGTGCTTGATTCTTTACTTTGACTTGGTATTTCATTATTTCTATACATTTCTTGATGCTCAGTTGGTTCTGTTCTAGAAATACTTTCAAAACTGTGAACTGATCGAACTTGAATTTGTGTTTTTTCATCAATGGATTCAGATCCTGATTGAATGGTAGGTGGAAGGTGATCTGGTGCAATGAAATAAGATAAGTATTGGGATTGTTGGTTTGGCTGGATTAAAGTATTCTTGTTTATTCTTGACAAACCAGTTTCATTTGGTGACAATTTTTGATTTAATCCATCAGCGGTATATTTATACAAAACATTTGAATTTATTTTAAAATCCTGTGAATATGGATCAGATTGAGACAAATGTACAGGCCACTGAATGTCACAAGAAGGAGAAGCAGTACCACCCTGATCGATACTTGAATCATTTATTTCAGTAGACTTTTCTACGCTTTCGTTTTTGTCACTGATAGTACAATTACTCAGAGTGTGTTCCAAATTTAAGACCGCTGTTTCAGATAATTTAGGATATGATGCTTTTGTCATCCATTTGTTTTCTTTGACTGAAGGTTCGTTTGTTAGAGAAGAAACTCCATTTATGTTATGAGAGCTTGTTAGATTTTCAAGTACAGAGTTATCATTATTTAAAGTGACACGACTAATATTCTCAATATTTGAGTTGTGGCAATTAGAATCAATGCTTTGATTTGGGTTGCAGTTCAATACACTTTTTTCATGCATGGATATTGTTCTGCAAATTTTTTTAGTTTTGCTTTTATCACCAAATGGTGAACATTGATTTCTTTTCGATCCTTTAGAATTCGAACATTCGGGGTGATTAGAAGTACTTTTAATTTCAGAAATGTAATTCAATCTACTTGGATTATTAGATAGTGTAGGATCAAATATGCTATCATCCCCATTCACTTGCATTTCATCTTCACTTGGTTCTATCTTTACAATAGCCGGGAATGATTCATGAGTGCCTATGAATGTTTTTAAGGCATTACCAGAAGATTTTTCATTTTCTTTACTTTTATCATTATTGCTCTCATCAATTCTTTTATTAATTGATAAATTTAAATGAAAAGTTTTTTCTATAGATTTTTTATCAGAATGTGAGAAATTGTCTATATTCAGGGGAGACTGATTTTCTGAACCTTTTCCAAATTGGTTTAACTTGTTTAAATCATCATTGGTTGGAACTAAATTATACTTGATTTTTTTCATCAAGCTAATACAGGAAGGTGTAGTTGGTATAAGTGGTTTTAGAGTGTCATCAAAATATTCATTCTGCAAAAAACAGCAATAAATTAAAATTGTGATTATACAAAAGTCAATAATTAATATTTATTACTATCTTCAAATAACTATCAACAACATTTGCACAAAAGCCCATCTTAAAATGAATTAATTTGACTTAATTGGGTAAAATTAAGACTTATTTTGGATATTATATTTCGGACTTTTACTAACACTGATTGTTTATCCTGAGATTTACCAAATTTTGTTTGTAAAAGTCCAAACGACAATAATCATTCGGGGTTTGACCAAACAATTTTGTGCATTCTAGGTTTTACCGAAATCAATTGGTAAATATCTGAATTTTGGACATTTACTAACAGTAGTAGATGAAACCTACAATTTACCTATACACAATTTATCCTAGGTTTAACCTGTATTTGTACTTTTACCGTAACATATACATAAAATTAGAATGGAAACAATGATATCTAAAAGTCTAAATGTCGTATATTCTTGGAAATACATTTATATGATCAAGGACATTACAATTGAGTCTTAAAAAACATTATAATAAAATGTAAAAACGACAATACTACTGTTCGATGCGCATTCTATAATTCTGGACCATAATTTGTCGCCCTGGCTTTGTACTAATCTGGGCCTTTCCCTAATGTTCATGATTGTGAACATGACCAATGATTGTGGCGATTATCATTATCAAATAAAACCTATGTCAAATACATGATTGCTATTTATTATAACTGTTCATTTTAATATTATAAATACAGTAGATTCTTAATATGTAGAACGTCGCTATCTCAAATTTTTTGTTATCTCAAACTACTTTTAATTCCCCTTGAAACTACTATTACACTTAATAGTGTTTTGCTCTCGATAACTCGATATAAAATTAAACGTTTTTCGTTATCTCGAGTTTACAAATAATATTTTTGTTACGGTTAACATAAGAATTGTGCAGTACATTGCATACATTGTGCAGGCAGTGCAGTATAGCGATTGTGATTTAGCGAGTCGGTAGTCACGTTTGTAGTATTTCGTAGTTCGTTTGTTTGTTTGTAGTGGAATGGAAAAGAAGCGTAAATTAAATGTTCTTTCAATTTCGGACAAAGTTCGTTTAATACAGTTAGTTGAAAAAGGTGACCGTAAAAAATGTGAAATTGCCAAAGAATTCAATATTCCACCAAATACATTATCGTCAATTATTAAACAGAAAGAGAAAATAATGAAGTTCAATTGTAAAAATTTTCAAATTTTAGTCTATTTTAGTCATTTGTATTTTTTATTATTCATATACATTATACAACATACATTTATATTAGTTTTTTTTATTATTCAAATTATGTATTTTAGGCATTCGTATTATTTATTATTCATATAAATTATACAACATACATTTATATTAGTTTTTTTATTTTTTAATAAAACTCGATATCTCAAAGTTTTCGATATCTCGAACTTTTTTCTGTTCCCCTTGAGATTCGACATGACGAGAATCTACTGTATAAGTAATTTATGGACTAGCCAATACATAAAATAAAAATTCAGAATATGTTTCCGTGTATGTAACACTAGTCACAAATAATTATTTAAGCCAGGGGTCTGTATTAATTTAGTATGTGACCTACCGGACCATGTGACCTACCGTGTATTGGGTATTAATTTAGTATGTGACATACAACACCGATAATTAATTTAAAAACAGGCAAATTAAAAATTATTAAATTATGTTAATAATTATTTAATTAATTAGTAATACAAATATAAAATAATAGAGGATTACATTTAATAATGTCAAAATCAGTCAAACAAAATATCAGTTTAATAAAATTTATGAATAGTGAATACATTGAACTATTCTAAAAATTTCATAATCAAATTGTATTTATATTTAAATACTTTTTGTAAATTACTTAAAAATAAATGTTAATAGATCGATACCCATACATTGCCATTACATAATCGTAATAATACATAACTACATAATTTAGATAATCGTCTTGGTAGGTCACATACTAAACGAATACCCAGGGGTCTCCAACCTACAGCCAAGGTTTTTGCACTGGCCCTAAAAGCTAATTAATGTTTTGAAAAGAATATATTTAATATGCTATTTTTATTTAGTTTTCATTATTTTTAATTTATTGAATTAATTAAATAAAATGAATATATATATATATATATATATACTAAAACTAACAAATAATAGAAAAACTCGTTATAGAATAAAAAAAAGTTATACAATTTTCTAAATAAATCATATGTATTCTATCTATTATTCATTTTCATAATCTCTCTATTCCTCTAAAAGTGCCAGTGTATTTCAAATTTGGCCCGCCGTAGAAACAGGTTGGAGACCTCTAATTTAAGGAACATAATAGAAGCTATAATGAAAAAAAAATAATTTCTTACCCAATTTTTCAAAAGTTCTTTTCTCGAAATCGCAAATATATCTGGTCGTAATATTTTACACTGTTCTATAATTGGTTTCAATAGTATTGGAATATCTTTCCTTTGACCAGCATCCAATATATCCTAAGAGCAATAAGTATTATTAAATCATTTTTGTTTTTATCTATTTTTATTGGCTAGTAGATACTTGTACATACAAACAGCAAAAATGATTGACCTAACAATAAAAAATCATAGTAAGTATAGCCTTTTATTTGTTATTTATGTACGGAAAACTAGTAGTAGTTCATTTTTAGCACAATGAAATACTAAATATTGGAATTATTATTTCTTACAAACTAGAAAATAATTTGGTATTATAATATTATAATGAATATCTCTAAATTCAAATTCCTGATGTAAAAATAATTTTTATTTAGTGTTTAGTATACATGGACAGAAATATTATGAAGCATATACAGTATGATTAATTTAATGTAACACACAAACATTAAATAGTGGTACTGAATGAATATAACATATTAAATAAGTTTATACAGCCGAGTCAAGATAACACAAATTTTTTACCCCTTGAAGTATAAGTTGTGTTTGAGGTAGGTATATAACTCAAAAATTACCCAAGTTGTATTTAATTTTTATCCTCCTTGAGATTTGAGGTATCGAGACTCGATTGTATAGTATTTAGTTAAATACTATTTTTGGAATAAGTGTAAATCATTTAAATAAAAATTTACCTTGTAACACTTCTTGAGTGGCAAATTTTCATCATATAAAAATAAACTAACATTTTTTAAATCTCTCTGTAATGAATATTGCTTTTCAGTTGAATGCATTGTCAATTTATGGCAGTTAGGCCAGTTAGGCCAATTATATTTCTCATGTTGACTCATAAAATCATTTGGAACATTCAAACGACTTAAACGTGATGTTAAAATTTTCAGTTCTTTGCTCTTAACAGAATCATCCATAGCCGATGAGGAGTTAATTATTCTTTTCCACAGTTTAAAACATAAAATATATCTCATGTAAGATAGAAAATTAATTTTTTTGGGCATTGGATGTTCAATTAGTAACTTTCTGTAAAAACCACATTTATTAAGTCATTAGAAAAATTGTTTAAATTAGTACTTATTGAAAATAATGATAAATAATAAAATACTAACTTACAAACTGGATGCATTATTGATTCTATATTAGTAATAACTTGACTAAAAAATAAATAGTATAATTTAAATATTGAATCAAACATGTAATCAAGTTTCTGATCTAAAAATATTAAATTAAATAAATAAATTCAAGTTATACATAGTTATTATAATACATTTTATATTGATTTATGAATTAAGATATTCATAAAATAATATTATATTTTATACCTTACCTAAAAAAACAAATAACATTGTATTTATTTTATTTGAAATTTTTATGTGAGACGGGTTTTCTTTAAAACGTCTACAACAGATAATTAACAATTTTTAATAATATAATAAATAAACAATAAATCACATAAATTAAATTTAAGAATATAATTATTACATTTTATGTAAGTAAAAGGAATTTTGAAAGATTTTGTACATTTTGTACGTTACCAATACTTTTACCAATCACAATTAATATTTCACACGTTAAGTGCTATACGGCCGCCAGCGGTCATTTTTACATCTCAAATTGTATGCTTTTGCGACCGCCGGCGGCCACAATTGATCAGTACTAAAAGGGCACAAGACCACTGGCGGCCATAAATGAATATTGTTTTATATTATTAACTTTTCTATGGTGGTACAATAATACAAAAAAAAGCAACGTGGCATTGCTCGAATCATTACAATTTTTTTTTGATGAAATAAATATATTTTCAAACTTATTTCAAATAAATAGTATAATATACAAATTAGGAATGACACTGAAAAATATACTCGGCATAATCGTGTGACCGTCGGTGTCACAAACGCTTGCAAAACGTGTTAAGGTGATTGATACCTACATTTTAAGATTATCTAATAAGTATTTAATATATTATTATTTACCAACTAGTTGGAAAAGATAATAGAAATACTTGATAGTATTACCTACATATACCATAAGAGACAAGTATAATGGAGATCATTAACATATTATAACACTTTTAACATAAATAAAAAATTGTCAAAATAATTGATTATCTTATTATTGATAGTAGATATTTACTATTTCAATACTTGATGAACAATTTGTATATGTTTATTTTGTGCAATTTAGTAAATAATTATAGATCTGATCATATATTATTATATAATTTGAAAATCAAATTAAAAATATATGTTTAGACTAGAGGTTGATTATAATAATAATTTTTTTTTTTTTTATCCACCAGGCAATCATAATGTTTCATAATGTTTATATAAAATGGTATAACATATCGTTCTATTTAACACATTTAACATATCATTTTTGGTCTTAAAATTAAATACTATTTAGATTAATTAACTAAGCATTAGAACTTACTGATTTGCCATTAGTTCTAAATCTATGTAATGGGCCACCATTGAACTCATTCCGTCATAATATATAACATCCAAAGTATCTCTTTTATCCTGAAAATAAATAATATATAAATACAAATAAAAAAAAGCTTTTAGAGATTTCCAAAACCGTTGTGATGTCAGTGTCTTATAAACAGAGCTCGTAAGTTCATGCCCTAAAAAATGACTCAATAGGCATACATTTATGCAATGAAAATTGGCCAAATATGCATTGAAATATGCCTTAAAAAGTTTAATTTATTTGCACTAAATATATAAAATTATGCACTTAATAAATGCTAACTTAAAAAAATCATAAACAATTTTTGAAATAACATGAACGTTTCATTCATTTTTTTTATAGTTATATTTTATTTTTTTATGTCACAATAAAAAATTGATTTTAAATACTATTCTTGAGCCTATTCTTGTGCATCTTTGTCAGTAATTCATTTTGAATCTGAAAATTTTTGATAAGCGATCGCGTTTTTTTTGTCAAATGTTGTTTCTTTCATAGTATTTCCATGAAAAAATGCATATTGATAGAATAATATGAAAATGAATATAAAAATCATATATAATACGCCCGATAAAATATAAATATGCATAAATATGCCAAATAGGCAAAAATCCTCTAAATATGCATAAGCATGAAAAATAAGACTTCACATATTTAACCGTGATACCTTGAAATGGATTTCTATGTCATTTAGCATTAAATACAACTTAGCAAGATTTATATACAAATGCATGAACTTACGACCCCTGCTGATAAACATGCAGCACTATACCTAATTTGCATTTGGCCAAACCAATTTTGTTGTTAGCTCTAATATTAGAGGGATGAATGAACTATTGTAAAATTTAAGCTAAGAACATCATCTGTGTTTATATGTTGGTTTTTTTTTTTTTATCGAGTCGGGGTGATGTGTAATTTTACTGGTAATTAAATACATAAACATCATTACATATAAACTAATATAATATCAATTAAGTCAAAAAGTTAACAGGTAAAATAATAAAACATGGGTATATGGAAAGAACCTCTATGCGGTTCACCTAGGCAACGATTCAGTGATACTCTCACTAATCTAGCAATCTTTCCACCACGGGGCTCAGGTTTTATAGACTAAACATAATAAATATATGTTGGTAATGACTCATAACTTATAAATAATATAATACTAATACTAATATAATCTGTGTATTTTTATTATATTTTTATTTTAAATTAATTTAATAATGATGAGAATTTTTATACTACTGTGATATAAGTACTCATAACTTGATTAAAAATTAAACATCATAGAAAAACAAGTATTATATTCTTATTTTTAAATTTATTAATAGATAAATTTACTTTAATATTTAAGTAACAACATACAATTGGTTCTGCTGTGCTGTACGATGGAGATAACACACACGGGTATGAAACGGAATAGCATTTAATTAAAGTAAATTTGAAATGGTTGATACCAATTTCTCCACATAAGAATATTAGAAGGGAAATAATTATAAAAATAGATATTTTTTTGCTAACCATACAAAATAATAAGTTTTTTTTTAAATGTTGGGCTACAAACTGAATGTATTTGCATTACACTGTATTAAGTCACAACAATATCAAATTAAACATAACTTAATTATACTTTCAAATAACTATTAAATGGCTATACATACATAATTTTAAGTTTTAAAAATGATAAATTTATTTTTATTGATGAAAAAATATATTTATTTACTTTTTTTATGGTTTTATAGTATCCTCGAAAAAACCACATAGTTTGTTCTAGATAATTTTTCACAAGACCTGATTTATTAATTTTATTTTTGCAATCATGATTTTCTTGTTCCATATTCCTGTAAACAAATAAAGAGTAATTATACATAAATCTAGGTATAGTTACTCCAACCTATTTTTATAGATAAACAATTTACTACAAGAAAGGTTGATCAGAATAAATATATATTTATAGTTTATACGAATAATTCAGCCAAAAATGTAGGTATATGAAAAACAAATATTTTGCTTTAAAGTGTAACTTAATTTAAAAATGAATTACATAAAATTATTCATTTTATTATTAGACTAAATGTATTGATTTAAAAGTTCAAACTATAAATTAAATGCCACTTATTTTAATGAATTTTTGTGTTCCAATATTTTTAATATTATTTTAATAAAAAGCAAACCGGGAATGTTGCATACAATTGAGTAAAAACTGATAAAACCCTCGATAGCCCAAAAAAAATTAAAAATAACCAAAATAAGTTGTGTTATTATTTTAGATGATTTATTATACCTATTTAATAATTTGGTAAAATATTAAGTACAACATTCAACTTTTGGAGAAGTTTTCTACTTAAAATAGGGCATGCAGCTATACACTTAATTTCTAATTAAGAGGAAGCTACATGTATTGGTTGTCTCCGTCAAATAACATACAACATGGCAAATTTTCATTCACTTGTTTCAATAGTGTGCTGTTAGTTTTAATATTAGAGTGAATTTACCTAGAGACAAACTTTTAGGTAAGAACTTAAATGTACTTAAGTGTTGGTGATTTTTTTGATATTTTAATTTTAATTTTTAAAAACTATTTTTAAGCAAGATAAGGAATGTGAAATATCCTAATTAAAAATGATAATATTTCACTTAAACATTAAAATATTAAATTAATGCATTCTCACTCTAATATTAAAACTAACAGCTCACTATTGTAACTAGTGAACAAAAATTAAAAATTTGCCATTTTGTACGTGTGTAAGACCTAGACAATAAATACATAGGTAGCGTCCTCTTAAGTACCTGAGTTTAATAAAATAATTTAGGTACTTACTGACAAAACAAATTGAATAACCCAAAATAAAGTTCTGTATTAACAAGGGACGAAATCTTACGGCATTCCAACCGAAAACCAGCTAACCATCTAACAAATGACAGTTCCACCAATGTGTCCTGACAATCCACATACTTAGGAAATCTGTCCGAAGTTGTTGGTGTATTTTTAGTATTTTCATCGACATCTGAATCAACTACAATAATAATAATAATAAGTTAATAATACATATAATTAATATTATTATTAGTGTTTGAAGTATGATATTATATTTCATGTGAAATAATATGGTGAATTATTTCACAAAAACATGAAACATTGAAATTTTTTTAATACAAATATTAATGATGGTCATTTTATTATTAATTATATAGTCCAAGAGTACTAGGTATAATCATTGATATTAGTGGAATATGAGTGCTGCGGTTGACATATTACTAATAGTATAAATGTATAATATAGTATATTTGAAATTCTAGTTATTATATCTATACATTAGGTATTCATATAATATACAGTTATATAGTTATTAATGCTATTATTTATATACTTTTCTTAATTAATTTACATATAAATAAACAAAATACAAGGAACTTAAATCATAATATTATTTTGTATTAATTTGTATATATATTATTCATTGTCACAGGTATAAGATATTTGTACATTTTATTATTGTATATTAATTTAGTTTAAATCAATTGACCATTATTAAAATCTACTTTAATTCATTATGAAATTGGTATAGGTTAATAACTCTATATAACACAAATGTATTCAATTTGTTATTTAATTCGATGTATGTCGTTCAAAACTTATCTTAACTTTTTCGTTGCCCGGAAATAAATTCTGATTGTTCAACTCCTTTTGGGTGTAACACACTGTGGAAGCTATGTCTTTTTAAGTGTAGGTAAATGATATTATATTATAATGTATAGCCATCTCAACCGGCAGTGTCAGTGAGATTTGCAGCAGTAAATGATCAGTTAGGCAAACACATAAAATACATAGTTTGACGAAATACAAAAAAATCACGAACATGTGCAAATTATTTTGAGTTAGAAATTCATAAAAAATTTTATTTTTAATCTAACATTTGAAAATTTAACAAAATATTCCTCATACAAATGTCCACCTACATCCAAAAAAAAAAATCTCTAACGGAAAGTCAAATTCAATTATTATGAGCGTTTGAATTTCAAATTTTTACAACATGTATCAAACCCAAATTTAAAAATTATTTTTTTGTTAAAAATGTATAAAATGTACAATTTTTATAACTAAGGATTGAAAATTTAAAACAAGGTTCCACGTAAGTACCTATCTAGGTTATTCTGTAACTAAAAATCTAAGAAATATAAAAACACAGTTTTATTTTATAGTTTATTTTATGTTAAAATTTGGAAGAATTTATGTATTAAATAAAATAGATTGACAATTTTAGTAATTTTATAATATTAATTCAACTTACCGGCTACCGTATTAATAATAGGTAGTACACTCGGTAATACAGTAGTCACTCGATAATAAGAAATTCAGGGGACCAAGTTAAAACTTTGATTTAATGAGGTTTTCAAATTACTGTTTGGAAAAGACACGTTTAAATAACTTATTAATTATTAGGTTACTGCGGCTATTAACTATAGTTATAGTCATAAGCAATGTAAGTTGAAATATTCATACATATGATATGAGTACATGTGAACCCGGGATCAGTGAGGAATATTATTTTTAATATTTTTAAGACATATAAATCATAGCTCTATTTAGTACCATTTATAACAAATGTAGCGCGAGTACCTATACTAGAATATTTATGTTGTTTGTAAATATAATTATTTCTAATGTATTAGTCAGTTAGGTATTAATTATTGAAAATGTACCATTGAAACCTTACTGATTATACCTATTTACTATCTCTTCTATTTTATTACGTATGTACTCATGACAAAATTTTCCAAACCAAATGTAAAATTAAACTTACAATTTTAATTTAATTCGTAAAAGATAATTACTCTGGTAGTAATAAAGAATTATTATTGTTATTCAATTGACAAGCCGCTTGAGCATAATTTATGTTAGCTATATAATTAAAATGATATAGTACCAATGTCCATAGCATAATATATTAGTATTACTAGGCACTAAAAACAACTGCTCTACTGAGACCATATATGTATATTGATAATTCCTCGGATAATTCTCCGCAAGCAATGTCAACAAAATAGAACAACAGTTGACTAAAAAGTGAAATAACCATAAACAACTAGGTAGGTACTTGAAAAGGAATCTGATGTAATAAAACATATTTACATAATTTCACAATACCTATGTAGGAACGGTGAGACTTGCACCAGGATTGTTCTCAGTAAATACAACAAATGGAATATTTTTTTTTAAGACACACGAGAAGTAGGTACCTACCTATAATAGGTGTAACAAGACAGAGTAAAAATGACAGTTTTTACAAAATAATTCCTCTACGAGGGTCAAAAGGTATGAGTGCATAATACTGTATAAAGTGAGATAGGTAATGAGCAATGACAAATAGAACCTTAGGACGTCGTACGATGGAATGTTTAAGCAAAAGTATACAACACGAATGAGTTATAAAACTAGGCTTGTGCAGCACCATCAGCAGACGTACCTAGAGCAGATGTATTACACTGAGACACAACCTAGACAGCTGAACGGCTCAGCGTCTGGCACGATATTATGTTGACGACAAACCATTGACTAGCCGGGAGTAATGGTGATAGATATCATGTTTACACATAGACGGAGCATGACGTATAAAAAAAACACTCACCTGTTATGTCTATGATTTCCACGGGCTCGGTGGTGGCAATGGACATTGACGACGCTGTCGATTTCTCTCCTTGCTGCGGTTGAACAGCCGTCGCGTCTCCAGTGACTTGCTCAACACCACTCTTACTAGACGCCATCGGTGGACCTTCACAGCACTGGTTCGCTGTGCAAGACTCGCTGACACTTGGTGCTCGGCCACAGCTCGTGGACAGTGGTCGACGTCTCGCAGATGAACAATATCGTGTGACCGAACGTCCTTCCGTCCGACTGATTGACTGGCAGGCGGTAGCGTCCGTCCGACTGAGCACAACCTTATCAGTACTGCTGTAAGCTGTAAGTCTCCGTCAATCCGGGGTCGCTTGTGAAGAAATGGCCGACGAATTGTGGCTGCTTATACACTGCGGCGTCGATGGCGGCGACAAACAATATTATTGTTTCGTCGCGCATCGGCGGCGGCGGCTACGGATTCGCTCGATCACCGATCAAACACTTTCCGTCTCACCGAAAATATGAACGAGAACACTAATATACGACTTGTAAAGTTACAATATTATTATCGTGTTATCACACGCTGCTCCTCGCTGATACTCGTAAGCCCTACTATAGACAAGGCGCGTAGTCAAAGCGTACACCGTACAGACAAACGTGCACCGGCGCGCACTGACTACTGAGTACTGACCCGTCGCCCGTCGGTGTATGCATGATCGATACCAGACTAGTTACGGCGCATGCGCCTTAGATATTATTCCGAAAACTGGAGGAAGCCCCTTCGATCGATGTAGCGGCGTATAATAATTTTGTTGCCGACATTAGCGACTAGCGACGAGTCTCAGAATTAAATTATCGATGTGCGCATGTGCGACGCAACTTTCCGCACAATATATCCATAGGTCATAACAAAATCTATTTTGTCATGCCATAAGTTACTATCGCCGAATTAATATACATTTTGGTTAGTGGTTAATTATATTATTATAATTTATAGTAGGTATTATACTAGGTACTATTCAAAATAATATTTTACTCAAAACATAACACGGTGATTTCGTCTGCGGATAAACTTGTAAGAAGGAGCGTCGCGCATGCGTAAACGTTTACCTACTTCGGTGAGCGACGGTCGGCAACATTTTTGTAGTATTGATCCAATACGCTCCGCCCACAGTAGATATAATATGGCGGAGGTTATAGACCTAAAGGACAGCGCATAGAGAGAGAAATCACCAGACGGGATTGTTGAGAGAGAGAAAACAGATGTTTTCGGCCGTCAGAGTGTACCGAGACATAATATTAAAACACAAAACGTGTTTTTTCTCTCGCTCATAAAGTGTATAATTTTATTTTTTTATTTTGTTTTCTCTCGCAGTTATATCGTCTGGATTAACCAATGGCGGGGCGGTGTGAGAAGCGCTGTCCATTAGTTGCATTATAAGAAATGTATAATGCCTATGCCGAGTTTTAATCGCCTTGACAAAACCTCACATTACTCTTTGATAATACAGTAGATCGCGGATCTAATCAGATATTATGTTTGCTTCACACATCTCACTTCATTCCTAGTATATTATAATATCATACGTCTATGGGTTGTACACGTACCTAGATTAATTCTTTAACATCTACGGTTGCAGTACATCAATACTGTTCAACACCGTTCCAATATTTTTACAAACGTTACAGTAACCGCGGTGTATATACACAGCCGTGCGGCCCCTCTTCCTTTGAGATTGTATACACGCTCCGATCGCCGTCGGCAACCTCCGACAGCTGCTCTCCCGATTCTTCCTCATTTTCGAACGAACGTCGTCACATACATGGTGTCCCGTGACTCGTGAGGATATACCCATTAGCCCGTAGAGGGAGACTAGGAATCCCGGATTAAAATTAAAATGTATTTACTTTTTTACCACGAAATGTAATTAAATTAAAAAAATAAAATATAATAATATGCACCTAGTCCTTGTCTTTGAGTCTAATAAAAGAATACAGATTTATGATAAGTTTATTATCTCAGGAGGTACCTTTATGTATAATGAGTAAATCCTCGCGGGACACTGTATAGGTACCTACCTACATAAGAGTGCTCACGGGGCAGTCACAGTTGGCACTTGCCTATACAACTCTGCGAACTCCCCTGCAGGCCGCACTCAATATTCAATATTATTATTATGATAATTGATGGTCAAACATAAAATAGGTACTCTTTAACTATGGTAAATGTAGTTAAATGAGGTTACCCCTTACAAATTAGTTTTTATAACTTGGGCGTGAATATATGAATATTATATGTACGTAATATGTGTGTGGACTGTGGGTTATGTACTGCTGTATAAGACTACGACCCTGCCAGACATTCTGCGCATGCTCATGACTGTATTCAATATCGAACAGCCGTCCTCAGCAAACTCTCCCTATATGATTGTATACACCCGCCGATCACCCGTCGGTCGCCATGACGTTACCTCCGACCGACGCACTCACGCGCAGCCGCGCTTCTTTCTTTTTTTTCTCTGAAGAACGTCGTTACAATATATACCTACATCGATTCTACCGCCACTAGAATGTAACGACGACCAAACTACGTTTTTCCTCGAGTCCCTTTTGACGTAAAGCGCCGACGCGGCGACGCGTATACAAAACCTTTTAAGCAGTCCCTGTTTTTTTAGTATATGAACCCCGACACAAAGAGTGTACCTACCTAATCCAAAATTTGAAAGTGTGCACTACGGATTTGAGAAGTGTGTACCTACTAATAAATAAGACTATAAAAATAAATAGATTATAATTTATAGGTACCTATACTTAGTAGTAGGTAGTAATGTAGTAAGCATATACACAGTACCTATACTGTATATTGCACACTATAGACAACAATTCAACATTTTTGAATTTTTAAAAATGAAAAAACTTTATGATATCTACCGAAAATAAATTGTTTTTCGTAACATTTTACCAGATTGATCTTTATTACTTATCTATTTTGAATTGTGAGCATTAGACAAGCCAGGTAGTCGGTACCCATAGTCGGTATAGATACCTGGATACGGCTGCAATATAAGATTGCGCTGGGTCCTCATCTGCAGCGGTACCTTTTTATGCGTACCTACGATTGCACACCCTAAATCATTTTTACTTCTAAGCAACGTTGCCAAATATACAGATTATAGGTTTTTTAATGAATATTTTTTCGAACTCTTTTTTGATATCTATTCGAAAATGTAGGTATATTATTATAACAATTTTTTTAATGAATATTTTTTATTTATAATAATTATATTATGTTCCTTTATGAGGTAGACTGAATGTGAATATAAAGTATCGTGTTTTATTTGGTGTAATAGATTTAACAAAATTTTAATAATAATTTGGCAGAATTTAAATTTTATTTATCTATTCGAATATTTTCTATTATTTTATTATAACGATTTTTTTTGTATCGAAATCGATGATTTTCAATCGTGTATCAAATATAGTACACGTAATACGTATCCCCCTGGGATTGTCCAATCTAAATGTAATTCGATAATTATTTATAATTTCGTTAATTAGGTAATATTGTGGAATAGTAATTGTAAATTATACGATTTTTGACCTCTCGTTACTTCATTACTAATATACAAATAAAGTACATAAAAATGGTGAAATAGGCTGCTTTTAAGACATTTTTTTGACCGCTTAAAAATCCGAGTGTTCCTGAATGTAGGTATGTTATTATTTTTTAAATTTATTAGAGAATTAAAGTCGTACCACAGAAATAATAAAAGGTATCCAATCTTTATAATAATTCAGCAGCGTTTATATAAGACTCCTTTTGTCTTTCGACTGTAGGATACTCCACGCTTTTTTGTATGATGTAACGAAATTAATGGGTTCAAGTTCTAGACATGCCTATACTTACCTACCTCTCTTGTTGTGCCACATTTTTAATTATTCGTCAGTAATTTTCTTATATTATTAGTTATTAGTTTATTTCTAATTTAATCGTTGGAATAGTAGTTGATAATATATTATACTATTTTGTATACATATTATATTTATACACCTTTGTAATTAATGTACAATGTACATTGTACATTTATTTTATACATCGATAACATTTCGAAAAAAATATGACGAAAAGTAAATATATAGTTGTAGCCTGTAGGTAATTATGTATCCAGCAGTGGAGTACGATAATTGCGTGCGTTTTACCTTTTTGGGCATACCATTGCGTGCAATGCTGGAATAACAAAGAACATGCTTTTGACTATTCAAAAGCGTACATTTGCGCGTGAAATTGGATGGGAAGTTGTCAATATATTATTAAAATTATTATAATTATTATTATAAAAAAATATCGTCAACAGGTTAACTGCTACGTCATTTGTCGGTGCTAAGTGTACCATTTTTAACAATACGATTTTAACACAGAAAAAAACACCAGACAAACAAATTTTCGACTATCCTATTGACCGCTTCTAAATTCAATTTTTTAGGTCAAAAAATCAAAAAAAAAAAAAAATAATAATTTTAAATAATGTATTTATTTCTGATATTATAAACGTGAGTTATATACGACAACTAATCAGCACAACTATAGTACGCCGCTTTCTGGCGAACGACTGCTTAAAACTATTATGTTCAATACACGTCAATTATTTTCAATGATGATAATGACTAATGATATATTGAATATTGATATACCGGTCATTTGTACTGATAATTTTTACCGATAATCAATTACTTTAGATAAGTCCAAATTAAAAAATATAAAATATATTATGTTATGCATTGTTTATGTAGTGCTCAAACTAGTCGTCCGTTTTCAGGTTAACGACGGTATTCGTTGTGCGCAAACGAGTCATCGATATCTAGGTAAACAATTTGGATTGTGCGCAAAAGAGTTGCGCCGGGTCAAAAGAAACTCTGGTACTAGGACTTTCAAGGGGCCCGCCGTTCGTGCAAATCATTACTTCAATATATATTACTAGAAAAATGTGTCAAATACAAATACAAGTTAGTGAACGATACGTGAACGTCACTCGTTTTTTTAAAATAGAAGGTGAACGACATTTATATATTATTTAATGCATTTGAACGATTTTTAAGGCGTTCAAATTTATTTATTATTTAATAAATATTTATCGATAATACTATTATG